CTCCAGCTTGAGGGGGAGTGTTAGAGTACACAAAAAGGGGTATTTTGGTCATTTGGGTTTATCTATTTGAGAGTGAAAGGTCTGTTTTATTTAAGTTTAAGTTATGTGTCACATCACTTATGAGGAACAATATGATCTTTCTTGTAACTATGTTATTGGGGATAAATACAAGTGGGTCGACTAAAGAGAGGACTGATTTTCCTCTACTGGCCGAACCCTTCTTCTTCTCCTCCTCTTCTTCTTCTTCTTCTTCTTCTTCTCCTTCTTCTCTACTGTAACCYAGGACTAAATAAGGTTTTCACATGGTAAAAATTAGAAGGGATAGGGTCAAAAATGAAGCCATGTGGAGAAACCTAGGAGTAGCTCCTATAGATGATAAAAAGGGAGAAAGTTAGATTGAGGTGGTTTGGTCGCGGGCATAGAGAACCAACTACAACACCCATTAGAAGTGGTCTCTTACAAGTTGAAGGGGCTAGAAGAGCTAGGGCAGACCGAAAAGAACTTGGGTGGAAGTAGTAAGAAATTATTTAAGTGCTCATAATTTGATGATGGATATGACGCTGAACAAACGAAATGGCAAAACAGGATTCATGTAGCTGACCCATATAATTGGGACAAGGCTTAGATGATGATAATGATTTCCTGTGTGTCAAACAAGGTGAGTGTATCTAAATCATTAAATAGCTGATGTGGGACAATCAGGACATCTTTTCAGGATAGGGTACCTAGTGAACACATGGTATCATTTGGCAGAAAATAAAAAAGTCTGTACAAAACGTATGAAGAAAAAAAAGGAAAGAAATGCTGGATCATAGAGGAGGATCAAGGATTTAAATGGGTTTCAACATCAGAGAGGTGTTACAAAAAGTAACCTGTATTAGGGAATTGTTTTCCCCATAAACTGATTAGAATGTATGGATGTTGAGGGCTAGGTCACTTGCCTGGTTCCATGTCTGTTGTGCAGGCATACTCCTCATGCTGTATGCTTACCATTCTTTTCACACAATTAATAAAACTCAGATAGTTACCAATCCAAAAAAAATGCTTCTAAAGAATTTGTTGGAGTAGGAGGCACATTGTGTACTTGTGTTGGGAATATATTTATGGATGGATCAATGGTAGGTTTTTGCTCATAGTGGGTTGGTTCATGCATTTTGTTTTTATCTTTCTTTTTTTTTTGATTCTTTTGTTTTCATCTTTCTACTCTTCATTGGTTTTTCTCTTCCTATACATAATTTTTAATTGTATTTGATAAAAAGCTACTTATTTTCTTATAATCTTACTTCCATTGTTCTATATAGACAATCTTTTGAAGCCTAGGTTTGTACAGACAAGAATCATGAAATCACTTTTTTGCATCACAAATTTTTTGATGAATTCACCTATCTTTTCAACTTTTAATTTTTCTATAGATGACTTTTAGTTGGATAGATGCAACTTAGTTTCTTATCTCCATTATTCTGTGCAGACATTCTTATGAAGTCTATAGGTTATGAGGTGGAAATGGGTTATAAAAGTTCTGAGGTTTCAAAATTATCTTACCATTGTAGAAATTTTGGGCGGTATGCCAGGTAAGACAATATTCTAAGTTTTGTATATGATTTTAGTGTATAACAATTTGCTATTATGATTGTTGATCAAAAGATGATTATGTGTGCTCTTGGAATAGTTAGTTTAAAAAAAAAATCTTTGTTTGGATAAATACTAAACATACCTTTTTAGAGCAGGATTTTTTTTGAAAAAGGTAAGTTATTGTATTAAAACCAAAAAGAACTACGTCCGCTGGAATTGTGCTGAGAATAATCTCTTGGTGGATCAACAGTGATTTGGGATCCAGGTATAAACATAAAAGCCAGGCTATTTTTTCCAATGCATGTTGCAGTGAATATGGGTCCATATGACCCACCAAACAACAGACAACCAATTAAAGTTTAAAACCAGCCCATCTTTTGAGTTAACCCACTGAATGTTAAAATTGAACCCACCTTTTTAATCTAACCCGCCAAATATTAGAGGTGGTGAAGATCATTTTCACCACTTAATCCTCAATGTCTATTATTTGGCAGTCAATCTTGTGGTGTAAAACACTTTCAAGATTCTACTCGTGTCCCTACATGTAGCTATAAATTGGGGTCACCCTATTTCAGTTTGTATCATTTCATTTTCTTCTTTACATAACTTTGGGTTTGTACAGAGAGTGAGTGCATGGTCTTTAAGGGGTTGTATGGGTGGGTACTTGGTGTGAGTTTTGATGAGGTTCTATTGTACTGCCTGAGGTGCTGCCCGTGGACACAAGCAATTTGATCAAACCACATAAGTCTTGGTTTTTTCTCTCTTCTCTTTGGATTTCTGCTATTTGCATTTGCTTTCCTTCTGTGCTTCTATACATTGTGTTACATGTTGCACCACTCTGAGTACAATAGATCAGAACTTTTTTGATGGAGAAAATGGAGTTACAACTTACAAATACAAGATCTCCCAAGCAAGAATGCTAGGCTTGACCAAGGAATCGGCCATAGTACAAAGAAAAGGTTCATCATGTCTTCCTAGAAGACCAGAGTGCCAAACCTGCAATACAAATGTTCCCTATATACTCACACATTTGAACAAGGTCTTCATTCTTGAGAGTAAAGATCTAGCATCCCTTGCCTGATGATAAAAACATAGGTGCCTTTAGCCCTTTACTGATCCAAAAAAAAAAAACAAAATAAATAAATAAATAAATCAGGGGCCTCCCCCCCATCTTGTGTCCACCCTATTATCACCTTGGAGTTTCCTTCAAAGTTTATGGACAAATACCTTGGAAACAAATGGGTTTAGAATAAGTAGGACCAAACAGAATATAATATATGCTATGTAAGTTTAATAATAATAAGAGTGAAAATCAGGGTACACTCAGGATTAGTTCGATAATTCATAACAAGGGAGAGGTTTAGGAGGATGTTTCCCGTAGAATGAGGACAGGATGAGCAAAATGGAGGGGTGCATGCGGAGTCTTATGTGTTAGGCTGATACCACTTGGGTTAAAAGGAAAGTTCTATAATTGTGGGCCAGCAATGCTATATGGAGCAAAGTGTTTGCTTGTTGGGAAGTCAAGAAATAACATATCCAAAAGATGAGCGTGGCAGAAATGCATATGCTCAGATGGATGAGTGGAAAAGCTAGGAAGGATAGGGTCAGAAATTGAAGTCATTTTAATAAAATGAGAGAAAGTAGACTAAGATGGTTTGTTCATGTACATAGAAGACCATCTACAACACCCATAAGAAGTGATCTATTGCAAGTTGAAGGGGTAGAAGGGCTAGGGCAGACCAAAAAGACATGGGTTGAAGTAATAAGAAATGCTCATAATTTAACAATGGATATGTTGAGATTATGTATTGTAAGCAGGGGCATTATTGTCCTTCCACTAAATTTGTATTTGGGTGCCCATTCAGGGGCAAGTATGTAATTTGCAACATTATGTTAAATGGAAAATTTCTGCATGTGAACAGTACCACACTCAATTCCCTCAAAGTCTCTTCTTCTCTTCTAACTCTTCCCCTTCTTCTCCTTCTTTCTCCAACACTTCCAACTTGATATCAAAGTAGGTTGGGATCTTGGAAGAACTTTTTTCTGCTGACTTTTGAACCCAAGAAAACCTGCTGATGTCAGATCGCCACTAGATGACATTAGCAGTCCGTACAAGTGAAGGGATGGGAGATCCATCATATGGATGGCCGAACCATGCAGGGTGGCTGGGCGAAATTTCAAAAATTTCTTTCTCCCATCTAGGAATCCTATTCCTTGATTTAGAAAAACTGCATTTTTCAAGGTTTGTTCTTGAAACAAATCAGACCAAATCTAAAACCAAGATTGGGGAGAGGGTAGTACCTAATACGGAATCAATGTAAAACTCCCAGCGTAGGTGTTCACGCCCAAAGAGGTTACCAAATCCGCCTCCACTGAAGATGACACAACGAATGTTGAGGCAGGATCAGCAAGAAGGGTTCTTCAGCAAGAATCGTGTAGGGTTGTGTGAGCACGACTTTAGATTGTTTCTTCACCAAGAAACAATATCAAGAACAATTCTTGATCACTCCAAGAGGTGGAGATCAAATTAGGCAGGGCGGCAAGAGCAGAGGAAGAAAAAGATTGCAGAGAAGAAGTGATCTTTTTGTAGAATTCACCCCCTTATTTATAATCTTCTCTGGATCAGCTTCCTAATCCAATTAGGAATGAGTTTCTTGATCTAAATCTGATATTTGGATCTGGACTCTCAAGTTGGATAAGACTTATCTTATCCAACTGCTAATTCTAATCAGGTTATAAACCCAAATTCGCCCATTTAATTAAATCACTTAAACCCAGTTCGAAATAGGCCTTAGGCCCATTAAGTCACTGTGCTCACTTTACCCTTTAAATGTTGGATAGTTTGGCTCTCTTTGTATTGCGTGGGACCCTAGCATTGATCTACACATTAGTCACATGAGTTCGGCCCAGCGTTTGTTACAAGGCCTGGCCAAATTCACTACATAACATAGTGAACCCCTGAGTCCATTAGTATAGGCTCTTAATGGGCCCAACATTTACACTAAATGGTCCTTAGGTCTAGCCACCTTATGAAGGCCCAAGGACTGTGGGCAGATGCAAGATTAGCCCATCAGGTATAACCCTCAATGGTCTTACACTTAACCTCTCATCCCATAATGATCAAACACTGTCCGACAAGAGATGACCTCTCCCTCGGCTGCAAGGTACAATCTTGCACTCTTTGCTCACATGGGTCCCGGGAATTAAAACCTTTTGCAAACATTTTGAGAAACCAATATATATATATATATATATATATATATAAATATATTTTGCAAAACAAATCTCAACAATTTGAAATCAAATGCCGACAGTTTAGGTTTCCATCAGAGAGAGTGCATTCCCCGATCATTCACTTTGTTCGACAAAAGGGCTGATCCTGTCACTATGATCACCCACTCAGGTGAATTCTCGGACTGCCCTAACATATCCAGGTTTTGACCCGGTTAAGGATCTCACTGATTGGCATATCAGAGACAGCCCAATCCGACACCTAGTGCAGTACCATAATTGAGTCTAGGGGTCAGGTGTAACATTCCAGTTTTGCCCATCTATCTCCAACGTCCAAGGCAATACTGGAATTTGGTCCGGTTCAGGGTTTCAAGATAACCCACACTACATGTGCTTTGGGTCTTACCCTGGCAGCTGAGACAAGACACCCCAACCTTCTTGGCAGCACATCAGTGTCAGCCTTGGCAGGATAAATCTCCCCAGATCTATTCAACGGTTGTGAAGATTCTAAACTAACACGAGTCTCATAAGTGTCCAGTTTAAGAGTATTACACAGGAACACACCAATATAACATGAATCAATTATGCACTTTATTCATTTACAATAAATGTCAATAAGTACATCAATTTGATTGGAGCTAAGGGCATAACTGTGTAACAACAAGTGCCGATGACAACCCTTGAATCTGGTTTAGTTTGGTGCCCACTGATTTTAGAAAGATTTTGGTATGGGTCTCATCTCCATTTGATGCTTCCATGTTTTTTCTTGGATTTTTCATTAAAAGATTAAAGAAAATACAGTTTCAATGTGGGCTTTTCTCTTCACATTAGAGGCTGTTTCTTGCTTGAGACTTGTTGTCCTTAGGTCGTTTTACCTTTCTGGGAGTATGGGAAGTGGTTTCAGATTTTTTTGAACCCTAGGTATTTTTTGGGAGATTTTATTCTCTTATATTTCTGCTAGCTTGGTTTTTGGCCTCCTATTGGCTCTCAACCAGGTTTTGACCTGTTTTGGTGGGTCTATTATGTGCCAGTTGGTTGTTGTTAGAGTGCTGTATGGCTGTTGAGTTTTTTGTCCAAGTCTAATGGAATTGCCAAAGGAGGTACAAACTGTTTCTAGAATGCTCCTGGGCAATGTTAATGCTTCTAGTGGTATGATAACCACTATAAAACTTGATGGACAAACTTTTTACAGTGGTCTCTATTAGCCAAGCTTACCATCGAAGGAAGAAGGGGTCAGCTAAGATTCATTATAGGCAAGGAGGTGAAGCCAAAATTTGATGACCCCAAGTTTGCCATGTGGGAATAGGATGATTCTTTGGTTATGTCATGGTTGGTCAGTTTGGTGCAACTACATATTGCTCGCAATCAGTTGTAGCTTGATCTAGTGTATAAGAAGAATATAGAGCTATGGCTCATGGTGTATCAAAATTGCTTTGGTTGAAGACCTTGTTATATCTGAGATTAGAATCCAAGCTGAAGTTCCAACGAGGATGTAGTGTGATAACCAAGCTTCTATAAACATTTCTCATAATCTAGTCCGACATGATCGCACAAAACACACTGAGGTTGACACACTTCATTAGAAAGGATATCTAGTGGAGAAATTTGTATGCCTTTCATTAAGTCAGAAGATCAATTTGTTGGTTGTCTTTATCAAAGGCCTCCACAAGTCAAAACTTGACAGAAACCTAGGCAAGCTGGGCATGATAGATATCTATGCCCAGCTTGAGGTGGAGTGTTGAGATTGTGCATTTTGAGCAGGGGCATT